TCCCCCAGCTAGACCCTAATGCTCTCATACTTCTAAATTATCTAAATTATCTCCTAGAGAGTAGCGCCTTGAACAAGCTTTGATTGTAGATAGCTTTCCCAAGAATGTCCAAATACTTCAATTTGATTGGAATACAGTTTTGAAAAATAACACTTTATTAATTCGGTAGAGGAAATATAGTTACTTCCAAGAATGAAGTGGTTGACTAAGGTGTTTTTATCCTTTTTATCCCTTTTCCTTTATTTATTATTTATTGATGTATTTATTGATTGATTTGATTTATAGAAGAAGGAAACATTGTATAAGCAAAACACCAGCTCTAATTATACCCTGTGTTTTATAAATTTTTTGACCTAAGTTTGTATATTTATAATCTGGCAAAGTCATCCCACAGGGGGGGAATATATAAATGTAGCAAATCTGTCCTCCTATATAAACTCCAAAAATAAAAATCAATTTAAAATAACTCTTCTTACTTATACCTGGACAAATAGTTACAATACATATTTAACCTGTGTATAGTACTTTATTTAGACTATCATTATTTCAGGTTAGAGATATAATTCTTGATAATTTGCTTACCTAGCATACATAAAGTCTTGGTTGAATCCCTAGTACCACATAAACTGGGCATGGTGGCATAATTCTGCAATTTCATCACCCTAGAGGTAGAGGCAGGCAAATCAGAAGTTCAAGGTCATCCTTAGCTACATGGCAAATTTGAGACCTACCTGAACTACATAAGACCTGCTTCAAATATATGTGCCTGTATATTGTGGTGGTTTGAATGACAAATGTCTTCCATAGGATCAAGTGTGGGGCCTTTTCCCCCCACAAGCAGCACAATGGGGGCTGAGGAGGGGCAAGAGTGCTGCCATCCTAACCCTCCATTCCCAGGGCACCACCAAGGAGGCAGGGAGTCTGTCTTGCAGGATCTCATTTATTAAGCAGCAGGTAGGTGTTTATAAACATTTGTGAGTATTGGGTGTTTTGCCCCCCCATCCTCCCCCAGGACATGATTGGTCATAGTTATAAGTCCCAATCAGCACTTTAGGTTTTTGTTTCCCTGATCAGTTAAGTTTCCATTTTTTATCTCCCTCTGCCCACATGGCAGGGCCAGGGGCGGGAATCTCCTCCCCCCAGCGGGGTGCGGTTTTTCTTCCTCATAGCAGGTCCAGGTGTTGAGATGAGATACAGGAGTTGGTGGGGGCCCACCAATGGTCTTTTGAAGCTGGTCCAGCTGCTTCTTTTGGCCTTTTTGCCCTCTGTCTTCTGCCTCAGGCCCCTACAATCAAGTATTTGAACACTTGATCCCCAGTTGGTGGCATTGCTTGGGGAAGGTCGTGAAACCTTTAGGACATGTGGCTTTGCTGGAGAAAGCATATCCCTGGGAAAGGGGGGCACTTTGAGAGTTCATGCTTGCCGTACTTACAGTTTTCTGGTTTGTATTTGTGATTGAAGATGTGAACTCTCAAATCCCCAAGGCTGCTGCCATGCCTGCTGCTGGTGCCAGCCGGCCAAGACGGACAGTACTTGAAAGGGGGAGTGAGGATTGAAAGAAAAAACAGGTGACAGAGAAAAGATACTTGGGAGGACTGTCAGTAGAAACTGCAGCCCTGGTTTATTTTAGCTCCGCCTTTTTATACAGAAGAACATCAGAGCTCTTAACTCAATTTTAACAGCTGCTTTTCCCACCTGTATCTGAGGGTCAAGGAGCGGTCAAATACTTGTTGTGAGCTCCACCATATAAACACATTCCTCCTGACTTGGCAGATTAGGTACTGGTGTGCAAAACACAAACTCAGTAAACAAGCTTGCCACAGCTCAATGTACATAATGGATTAATAGCTCCCAACATCTCCCCCTTCTTTATTTTTTATAACCCCAGATTATGCTATATCCAGGACAGAAGGACCATGCCTGTCTTAAGTTGTCTTCTGCTAGAGCAAAGCTTTACCTGTCATCAGCATATAGCTTCCATCAGCTACACCCTGTCTTAGGTTGACTTTCTCCCAGAAGATCTTACCCATCTTTGACTACCGGCCTCTGTTAGGGGAGGGAGCGCAATCTCATATCATGCACAGCTGCCTTGACTTGCCACAGGATTTCATAAATAACTTTACTGCCACCAGACGAAAACAAAGACAGGAGGAAAAGCATGCCAAGTCCCACTAAACCATAGGACCATGATGGTAAGGTGGCTCTCAACCTTTTTAGAATATCTGCCACTGCTTACAGGGTGGAAATGCTTGTGGAGAATTTTTTTTTCTCCCTATTATCTCTTAGCAATAACACTTTGACATTGGTACAGTATCCATTTTGTCCCATAAGCACACAGTCATCTACTTGTACACACCCAGACTTAGTATTTTTAACAAAACAAATGGGCAACCCACTTCCCAATCCAAAATAATAAAAATTCATCACCACTTGCATCATCAGGCATTTTGAAGCAACTGAGCAATTAACCAAGAGTCATTCACAGTCACTACTATCTTTTTCCTCCCATATCACGGGGTGCAATATTGTGGATCAGGAACATAAGTCCAGTATAACTCAGCCAAGATCACTTGCAGGAACATCATCATCAGCCACGTTTGCCTCCTCCAGTATAATTCAGCCACGATCACTTGCAGGAACATCATCATCAGCCATGTCTCTCTCCTCATCATCTTTTTCTACTTCTTTTTTCTTTGGCGCTCGTCTGGCGAACCTCACCAGCCTTTCAGGCAGCCACCTGGCTCCATCAGCATCCTGTGGAAAACCACAAACATGCCCTCTTCCCCATATCAATACAGGGTCGGGGCCATTCCATTGTCCAGTTAAAGGATCCTTCCACCTGACTTGGGCGTAGGCATCCTGTGACTGAGGGTGCCATATTCTATCTGCCGCAGAGCGGTCATTTTTATAAAAAATTTAAAATGAAAAGAGTATGATGTAAAAGATTACTTGGTGTCTGGGGATATAACTCCCCATTTTTTATTTTTTGTAATTGTGCTTTTAAAGTGCCATGTGCTCTTTCCACTATACCTTGTCCTTGTGGGTTATACGGTATTCCAGTTCTATGCTCAATGCCCAATTGCAAACAGAAACGTTGGAATCCCTGACTGGTATAGCCAGAGCCATTATCTGTTTTTTTTAACATTAGGGATCCCAGCTATGGAAAAGCAAGTCAAGCAATGAGTTATGATATTTTTTGTGGCTTCCCCTGTTTGTGCAGTAGCCATAATAAAGCCAGAAAATGTATCTATAGTAACATGTACATACCTTTGTCTGCCAAAATCTGGAACATGAGTAATGTCCATTTGCCACAGTTGGTTAGGCTTCAGCCCTCTAGGATTAACCCCATAATGAGGAACAATTTGTGTTTGAGGACAAGATGAGCACTGTCGCACAATTTGTCTTGCAGCTTCCTTAGTAATATGAAGTTGTTTTCTCAAACTTTGGCTATTTTGGTGATGAATGGCATGAGAATTTGTAGCTTACTCTACCTGAGTCAATCCTATAAGCTGAGTGGCGGATGCCAAGGCATTCCCCAAAGCTAATGGCCCAGGAAGACCACTATGCGCTCTGAGATGTCCTATATAGCAAGGATATTTTCTAGATCTAATACTATTTTGCACTTGTCTTAACAGCAAAGAAATTTGAACATTCCTCGTTTCAATAAAAGGTACTGTTTCAATTTCCTGTAGAGCTCGAGCTACATAATGACTATCTGTATAGAGATTGAAGGGTGTTGAGGCCAGAAGCTGGAACACTGCAGCTACAGCATGAAGTTCCACTACCTGTGCTGAAGCAGGGGGAGGTTAACTAATAACTTTGCCCATAAATCACATAAGCTGCGTGTCCATTAGAAGAACCATCAGTAAATACCAACATAGCCTGGGTAAAAGGGGCAGTGGGACCATACTGAGCACAAGCAGTCCTTAATTCCTTAAGCTGCTTAAAAGGCACAGGTGCATGAGACCGCACCCTGTTGCCCTGCTGATCAACTTGCTCAGAAACTGGGAAGACCTGAAATCCATGCACTGACTTTCCTTGCTCTACCGCGGCCCCTATGGCCTGTTGTAGCGGAGACTGCACGGTTCTTAGTGGGTACCAGATTCCTGCCGAAGGCTCCTGAGCCATGGCAATCATGGGAGGCACAACAACCTTCGGTGGCCTCGGAGGAGAAGGATCTAATCCTACCATGATAAAGGGTGTTGGGGCAGTCCTAATTCTTTTCTCTCTGTTCTTCAACATTTCCTTCTTCACAGCCTCTAACTCTGCCCTTAATTGCTCAATTTCCCAGTGATAGTTAAAGATTTCTCAGGCAAAGCAATTAGAGGTGGACACTTTTCCTGATCGTACTCAACCGTCTCCTCTCCTAGGGCAGACTCATCCTCAGGGTCAAGAGATCTCTCTTCTAGCCCCAGACGGGGGTCCTCATAAAAGGGTGACAAGGCTAATGGTGCTGGCTCTGGTGGAGCAGAAGGTTTGGTTTCACTTTTATCCCAGCCATGGCTTATCAGATTCTCCTCTTTAGTCTCAGCCTTTGCTCCTCGGCCCCGAGCATATTCCTTACAAAACCTGAGCGACTGTTTCCTTGCCCCATCTTCTCCCGAGATAAATACTCACCACTCCCCAATTGTACCGAGTACACTCACTTAATTTCTCCAGCAGTGTCCTTCACTTTTTCCCCTCCTTTTCAGGTCCCTGTTCCAGGAGCCACTCACCAGTGCCAGCCAGCCAAGACGGACAGTGCCTGAAAGGGGGAGTGAGGATTGAAAGGAAAAACAAGAGATAGAGAAAAGATACTTGGGAGGACTGTCAGTAGAGACTGCAGCCCCGGTTTATTTCAGCTCCGCCTTTTTATACAGAACATCAGAGATCTTAACTCAATTTCAACAGCTCTTTTTCCCACCTGTATCTGAGGGTCAAGGAGCAGTCAAATACTTGTTGTGAGCACCACCATATAAACACATTCCTCCTGACTTGGCAGATTAGGTACTGGTGTGCAAAACACAAACTCAGTAAACAAGCCTGCCATAGCTCAATGTACATAATGGATTAATAGCTCCCAACAGCCTGCCACTTGTCACACCTCCCTGATCCGTCCTGCTGATCTTCCTTTTGTCCCATATTTCCTTATTATGCCACCATTCCACCTGTTTAAAATGGGAATTTATATTTTGTGCCACTGTCTGTTGGAAGTACATAGTTCACTTTTTGACTTTGCAGGGAATTACAGTAAGAGGTTAACTTGAGCCTCAGAAGAGACTTTGAACTTTTGAACATTGTTGAAACTGTGAAAGACTGTGGGGACTCAAAGTCAGACTAAATGCATTTTGCATTATGACCTGGCCATGGACCTCTGGGGCCAGGGAGTAGAATGCAGTGATGTGGATGAGAAAGGTCCCACATAACTTCAAGTATTTGAACACTCGGTCTCCAGTTGGTGGCACTGTTTGGGTAAAGTCATGGAATCTTTAGATGATATGGCCTTGCTGGACTGAACACATCACTGGGAGGAAGGGCTTTGAGGCTTGGAGAGTTCATAGTCTTGCCCCACTTCCAGTTTTCTTTCTGCTTCATGTTTCTGATTGAAGATGCATGCATTCAGCTTCCTGTTCCTGCCACATGCCTACTTGTTGCTGCAATGCTCCCATGATGGACACTCACCCCTCTGGGACCAGAAGCCAAAATAAACTCTTCCATAGGTCACTTTTGGTCATGGCATTTGGCACAGCAACAGAAAAGTGATGAGAGAGAGAGAGAGACAGAGACAGAGAGAGAGAGAGACAGAGAGAGAATCACCATTTCCCGTTAAATAAAGCAGGGACTTTAATATGTAACCACTTTGGAATATATCCACTGCCTGACACGTTTTTAGAATGGCTGTGCTCTTTAACTGGGACAACTGTATTGGCTTCTGTGGATGAAAAGGACTTCAAACAACTTGCTCATGGTTATCTGAATGCCATGCATCAGTACGTCCTCTTAGACATATCAGTAATTTAAACCACATCATTGTCTCCCCTTTCGTAGACATCCATTTGCCCAGGGTTCATGAGAGGAGAAGCTTCCCCTTCTCTTTCCATCCTATGGCTCCCTAGGAGCTTGCCAGATTGCTAAAAATTGCCTTCACTAACAAGCCAAAGGGGCCAGGGATCTGGATTACACATCATATCCTGCACGTCCTTCACCAGGACTAAGCAAGTATCATAGAAACAGAAAAACAAAAGACATTACAAATGAATTATTAATGTTTCTATGATACAGAGGAGAGAAGGGCTCTTTGCACATTAGTGAAAAAATGTCCCGCATCAGCACATCAAGACAAGGTTCTTTTCCAAAGTTCAATATCTGTTACATCAGTTCTTTAAAGCCTATAAATCTAAGAATGATGTAAATTGTGGTAAAACTCTAGCCAATACTTAAAGTAATTGTATTGAGGGTTGATGACACCGAGTTTCCCTTCCAAGACTTCTACATGGATTCATAATAGCAGGAGTGATGGGCAGATTTGTTTCCCCTCCTGACAGAATAATATGGCACCAGGAGGCCATTTTTCTTGGGTTGCTACTGAGCTCAGCACTTACCGCTGGGTTGCCAGGTTACACATGCTGTTTTAACAGAAGACAGAGGTCACTTTCTGCTGCTGATTTTAACTTTTCTGGCCAATGCAGTCACATCCCTTTTTGTCTGTGAGGCCAAGCTATCCATTCCTGAGATCACAGAAAAATTAAAGTAAGCAGGATGTTCCTGGCTATCTCAGAATATGAACTGCACGTCAAAGCTCCCTGCTCAGCATTTTGCCTCTCCCGGAGTTCTGTCAGACACTAATTCTAACCTTCTGTTTCCTGATGACCTCCCACCACCTTCCAAGGAACACATTCTTATATTCATCCTGTTTTTCATGTTATGAAATCCTGTCTGCTTGCTTCTATCTAGCCAGGTCCCTGTGACCTCAGAGGCCTGCAGTGACAAGCTATCTTTCCTATTCTAGACCCTAGATCATTAACCCACTACAGAAGTCCAGAATGGTAAGGAAATCCCATTCTCCCTCCTGGAGAGTTAGGACCACATCTCTTCTACTGTAAAGGCTTGCCTAAAGGAAACAGTTACTCTACAAACTCAAAATGAACTGAATTGATTAAAAGGTTTTGCCAGATTTATCACCATATATCTGTTCCCCCTTCAAATTAGAAGTTTCTTTCAGGGAAAGAAAAAAAAAAAAAGACTTATTCTAATCCAGGTGGAGTTGCATCTGTGTGAAGGAAGCTGGGAGCCTTAGCAAATTCCCAGTATTTGTGTAGCAGTCAGGGTAGGGAGGGGGAGGTAGGAAGCTTGCTATAGCCTCAGCAAACCACTTCTAAGCTCCACAGGCCTCCCCTCGCATTACATGTGTCCTCCCAACTCCTTTTGAGAATCACTGCATGAAAGACATTACCAAAGGCAGCATGTGGCACTGCCTGTGTGCATTAGAAGAGAGAAACAGAAAGGGTTTCCAAATCACTCACTCACTGATGGATGGTCTTAAAGAGCTTTCAGTAATAACCATTTACTAGGAAATGTGATGTTGGGTGACAAGGGGATTTATCGCCAGCCTGTGAACATTGACTTGAAAAATAATGAAATGGGGCAAATTGTGAAGAGCTGAGAAACACAATGTAACTCACCCACCATGAAAGGCAGAGAACTCCAGCCACAAGTCACTGCAGCCAATGTTGCAGCACAGATGCCACTCCAGTTGCAGAATCATAAACTGAGCAGGAGATGTTCATTATCTGCCTTCATTGTACACACAGAAGCGTGAGATACAGGGACCTTCATTCTGATACAAAGGAAGAAAACCTCAAGAAAGAAAGAGATACCTAACACAACTCTTAGGAAATGGAAAGACCCATCAGTGAACATGGCTCTGCCTTTCAATGTGCGTCCTAAACATTCACGGAGTAAATAAAGGGTTTTCTGCCTCACTGTCCCAAAAATCTCTAAGACACTCCTGACTATGTTTGAGTTTCTGTAGGATGCATGGCATAGAACTCACATTCAACCAAAGATTAGAAGTGATTTTGGCATTAATCACATTTGCTAATATATACAGTAGAAAACTAAAGGGTCCTTGGAAACATTGCAAAGTGTACTGGGAACTTGTCTCCATTTAGAGACTGTGGCATCCAAATCAAAGTCAAGAAGAGTAAAAATACTATTTATCATCAAAATGAACCAAGCGTCCTTGGGCAATTAATTGATTTCTAGATCTGAGCCAGAAAAAAATGAAAATTGAACCTGGGACATCTTGTACCAGAAAGCAACCAAGTTCTAAAAGAACAATGACTTACATTAAAAGGACACTGGACCCAATTTAAAGGGACTCTCACTGGCCTCATTGGAGAGACTCAAGTAGCATAAGGAAGAAGGAGAAGAACTGGAAACTATACGCTCTTATGTGATGACAGTAATGAAAGCAAGAAAGAGGAAGGGAAGAAGGAGGGGAGAACAGATTTTTATCAAACACCTGAAAACTCACAACAGACAAGAAAGGACTAAGCATTTGTCCTGATTTTTTCAGGGAAAAATCTAATTCAATTCTAATTGGCAAGGAAACTACTAAAGAATAATACCAGCTCTTGGGTGAGGATGAAATATAAGAGTTGAAAAACACTAAACTTTAACAAGACAGTTGAACAGATTAACATCATCAATACATGCCAAACCCTCATGGAAAGGATCATTATTAGAGACTGGATTATCTTCACTTTCCCAAGGACCGCACCACCAGTTACTAAGATAATACTCCACCTTTACAAGGGAGTGATCTGGTAGTCCACACATTGAGGAAATCTGGGATCAGCAGTAACGGAACAACCTGCATTCCAAGCCCAAAATATTTAACTTAATTCTACTCAAGCATCTAGATATAACTTCCAATTTACAAGAAATGCAAAAACAGAGAAACAAGTTAAATGGTACTACGAAGAAAACAGATTTTGGTGTGTTCTGTAAGATAACTGTACTAATATCTTTAAAAATGTTAGCGGAAAAGTCGCAAATTAACCTAGATTTTAAAAATATTGTCAAAGCAATGTAAATTAAAAAGGAAAAATAAAGCCCCCTATTTTTAGATGGCAATGATGGTTACAAATAATATTATAGAAACTACAAAAAAAACCTTCAAGTAAAAAGTTCAGTACAGTCATGGGCTATAAAAACACCACACAAAATCAATTCTATTTCTGCATTAATATTGAAAATATAGATGTTAGAATTTAAAACATAATAGTCATTCACAATGATCTGAAAGAAAATATAATACTTAGGAACATATATTAATAAGCAGATCTTTATTCTGAAAAATCACAAAATGCTGTTAGAAGAAATTGAAGGAAGCCCGAACAGGCAAACCACGTTCAAGGACTGGAACACTTACTATGGTTAATGCTTACTGAACATCTACACTGTGGTAGGTGCTATTCCGGGTGCTGAAGATCCTTCCAATCATTTCCTTTCATTTATTTTTTATTAAAAATAATTTACTTATCATTTTTATTTTATGTGTATGCGTATACTGCCCCCATATGTTTAAGTGTACCAGTGTGTGCAATGTCTGCAGGAGGACAGACGAGGGCGCTGGATTCCCCTGGAACTGGAGTTACAGATGGTTGTTAGCCGCCATGTGGGAACTGGGACTTGAACCCAGGTCCTCTGCAAGAGCAGCCAGTGCTCTTAACTGTTGAGCCATCTCTCTAGTCCTCATGTATTTATTTTTGCATGATAAATAAGTGTGCAACATTAAAGACATAAATTAGTGTGTGGCTGATTACCAATCACTTTAAATCTGTTTTTAAGAATATATAACGACACAGGGAAATTGTCATGATTTAATGTAACTCCCGAGGTTCTGTCTAATCCCCAACATTAATGTCATATGAGTGAACAGATGGGAAAATAAATAGGTGGGCAATATAAGAGCATTTAAAAGCAACTATTCCTATGTGTATGGTTACAGCTAGTTTTGTTTTCTCATTACATTATCTTATATTTTGTAAGTTCCCTTTAAAAGATTTGTATTGCATATTGGGTGTGGTGCCACATGTCTTTAATCCTAGCATTCAGGAGGCAGAGGCAAGCAGATTTCTGTGAGATTCAGGTCAGTCTCTTCTACGCAGTGAGTTCCAGGCCTGCTTTGGCTACATAGAGACTCTCTCTCAAAAAGACAAAGAAAAAAATGTATTATACTTTTAAGTTAGAAAAATTCAGTTAAATTTTTTATAAACATTGAGATCTTGTGTGTGGGTTTGGAACCTTGGCTCTTTTTACACTCATACATGGGAACACCCTCACACCAATGATACAAAATTCTTTCCCCCATATAATGTCGATCTGGATCCAAAATCTAGACTTCTACATCAACTCTCTACCTAACACTGTAGTTCTTCAGGACAGTAGCTGAAGCCTCTATGCCCCATCAGGCCATTTCAACCATTTTTCCCTTCAAAAGTGATCCTGCGCTCCAGATCTCTCTGCTATGTCCATAGATGGAGTAAGTGGTTGCCTTACACGACCAATTTTTGGCTCTCTTCCCTACCGTGCTATGCCTTATAAAATTAGTTTCTCCCACAACCAGCCTGAGTTCCTATACCCATTTGACCATAAATAACATTGGACAGATTAGCTTCCCTTTCAAGGCTATCTTTATGGATATCTCTCTCCTCAGCTACTTTTCTTATTAAAAGCTTTTATTGTTTCCAAAATAGTTCAAGCTCTTACTTACTCTTCTTATGTCATCACTTCAAGAACTGCATGGACAAAGCCATATATAAAAGTCAAAATAGTTTATCTGTCTCACCAAAGACCCTCCACTCTATTTTTTCACATGACAACAATCAACTGGCCTTGAGTATAATATAGATTAAGGCCAGGAAGATAGTTCAGTCAGTGAAGTACATGCTGAGTTCAATTCCCAGAACCCACATAAAAAATCTGGATAAGGTAGTGCATGTTTGTAATCCCACTGTTGGGGAGGAGAGATAAGCATATCCTTGGGGCTTGTTGGCCAGCTAGCTTAGCTACTTTGTGAGTACCAGGCCAGTGAGACTAGCTATCTCAAAAAACAAGGTGGATGAAACCTGAGAAGTGCCACTCAAAATTCTCCTCTGGCCTCCACATGTATACACATGAACACATACACGCACACACACATACACACACACAGAGAGAGAGAGAGAGAGAGAGAGAGAGAGAGAGAGAGAGAGAGAAGGGTAATATAAACTTATAAACTGTGTGATTCTCATTCATCCTGTACATGTCAAATAAATAAGACTTAGGTCTAATGTTGAATCAGCTCATTCCTAAGAGAAATACCAATTATGTAGAGAACTGCTATCATGTTTTATTGGCCTATTTGAGGAACTTGAGTCAAGAAATAGTTTATGAAGAGAATTAAAATTCATCTGGTGAATTAGGATGATGAATATGAAGATGATTTACAAGTGAAACTACAAGTTCTATCCAATAATTAGTTAACAAGACAGGAATAGAAGCATTCTAAGATTAATAGGATGTTTACAGAGAACTCCCTGGAACTATGGAGGTAAAAATGCTATTCTCAAAAGTTTATAAAATGGCTAAATGTTAGCTTATAATGAGTTTCAGTGATAAAATGTTGACTAAAGTTATATCTACTGGCCTTTCAGATATTATCAGAAAGTCTTTCCCCCAGATTATGTGGAAATCAAAACTGACAAGCTGTTATCTCTCACATAAAGTTCCCACATGCATTTTGGAAGGGAGAAGGGAAGAATATTAGCAGAACAGATTAAATATGAAGTTATTAAGTTCCTGTCAATATAAACAAGATCATGTGATAAACAGACCTTAAGTCACAAGCTAATGTTATTTTTTCTAGAACATCACTTGAGACCAGAGACAGGCAGAAAAATTAGCTTTCTATCCCTGCAAGCTCACATCAAGACTTAACTATTCATTCACATGAGACAGCCCATAGTTAAAAGAAAAAGCTAGATCCTTCTTCTTTGCCAGAAATGTGATGCCCCTGAGAGCCAATAGGGATGTTCTGGTCAAAAAGTCTCCCCACTATGGCTAGATGCCCATCCAGTTGCATGCATCAGAAGGCAATCACAGACACAGCACTAGGTAAATTGAACATAAATTCATTATCCCAGTCCCAGATTTGCAGCATAAGGAAGATTATACTTCACCTACCTCCTGATCAGTACCACTTTTGACAAAATCATTATTATGATGAATTTGCACAATTCTCTTCCAGTTGACATAGAAAGAATTAACTATTTTTAACAGCAATTTACAGCTGCCAAGATGCTGTTTCCAAACAGATGGATGAGTGGTACTTTATGACTGACACGTTTAGGAACCAAGGGGCTGGTTCTGTACAGGTGGAAGGACCCACCCTAGCATTTTTTTTCTCCACTGATGTCAGCTGCCTCTTTGACTGCATTTTTCAGAAGATAACTACATGGGAACAGGAAGGTAGAAATTTCACCCATTATTTATGGGTGAGAGTGTGCATTTCAGGACATTTAGCATCCCAGGCCTCACCAACTAAAAGCAAGCATTTCTCCCAGCCCCAGTGACAACTTGAAAGCCAGGGATGTCCACAAATATCCTCTAGAGGGTGTTGCTCAATTCTTTGAGAAACATTGCTCGATAATTTGGCTTACTTGGGGTATCACTCAATAGTTGAGACCCTTGCTTTTTTCTTAAATTAAAACAAACAAGTATAAAATACATTTAGAAGTTGGATCCAGGATAAAAAGCAGGGGGAAAAACAGAAATATACATGAATGCTGTCTCTAATACAAATTGATAAGATTTGGCAAATCTGAATTT